ACTTACATGTTTTGTATCCCACAAACAAATATCAGCAGCCACAACCAAACAGTGTGCAGATGGATATAGCAAAGAGCTATATTTTATTTGGCACACAAAGTAGTAAAAGATGTTATTTTGGCTGCTAGCTAATTCCATGTCACAGTTAAGTTGAACATGCACAGATTTGCAGAAAAAACATTCAAACACTCCAGCCTGTCAGTGTGTTTCCTGTGTGCTGGGCCAGAAGCTGGAGGGTGTAGTGGGAGCACTAAAACAGGCACAGAGGGAGCAGTTAGTTCCGTCTCCTGCTGAAGCACACAGCCGAGGTCACATGAGGCCCTTTCATCTAATGGTCCCTATCAGTGGGACCCTCCCACACAGCAGCTGCTTCAGACACCCATCCAACAGCAGCACCTTGTGGGAATGCATCCCTTTTCAACAGTGTGAGAGTGACGGCCCCTGCTGGCCATAGCTTAAACTGCATGCTTTCTGCTTCCTTGTCCCTGTTTTCCAGTTTCATTATATAGAAATGTATGCATAAAGAGCTCAGGGGCAGCCATTGAAACGAAGAAGCAAAAATGTCCAAACAGTCAGATACCCAAAAGAGTGTTTGATAAAAAGTCCTGTTCCCAAAAACAACTGCAGAACCTTCAACCAGAGGGTGATGGGCTTCCATGTAAAAGCATATCAGGATAAAATAACAGACAAACAAAAATAAAACCAAATAGGATCATGCAAAGATAGGTATTTCTTGATGGTGCTTTATTTCCAACATATGCACAACTACTAAAAATGTCTCCCCAATGAAATCCCTCTATTTCACACACCTGAAACAGCTAACATAAATGGAAGAGTCCTCTATATAAGCACTGATGCAGAGTAGCTATTGCAAGAACCATTTCCTGATTTCACACTCCATGGGAAACAATGTTACTGCAGCACTTATACCACTTATACCACTCTTTTTATCAACTTAATAAACAACTGTCCAATGCATGCTGCAACGTGAAAATATTTATTCAGAAAAACACACATATGAAAATGGTTCATGCAGAAATACATACACAACACACTGTTGAAATGACTTTATCAGTCAACCTCAAGGCTGTTTGCATTAAACCACATTTTGACTTTGGTTTATTTTTATAATGCTATCTATATGTCATGCAATATTTTGGGGGTGGGAAGGGTTTGGTTTAATGGTAGACAATGTTCAGCTTGAAACATGTTCCTCTCCACAGACTACTGTCCCTTTTATGATACTCAACCTGTATTTCTACATCTGTGGACACCACATCACCTTGTGAGCTGGCAAAATAGACAGGCTGTTCAGGCAACATCATAAAGACATCAGGGAGAATCTGCGGTTTCCTTCATTCAATAAGTACGAGCAAAATGGCTTAAGAATCAAACAGAACCAACACTACAGCCACCTATTAGTAGATCTCCTACAAAATTTAAATAATCTATTTAAAAAACTCAAACCAAGAGCCAGCACCATGTCAGGGCCAGAGATCAAAGGCTTCCTGCACAGCAGTCACGCACACCTGTATTTAACAAACAGCCCCACATTCACCATAAACATTACCAACTACAGTACAGTGTGTTTGCAGAGGTGGGCAAAGGTTAATCCTTCACCTGGGCATTTATGTTACATTAGCTTGAAATGTATGACAAAGGTCATTTAGCTGAAATTTAAGACACACAAGACCAATAAGAGTTTCAGCAACCGGTATTTGAAAAGGAAGAGTGCAGACATATTTCAATTTATCTTACCTCACTGATCTACGTCAAATTGTTTATTTAGCTCGTTACTGTCCTTATCTAGGGTGACATCTATGACATAGAGCAGGGTTAGATGACCCTGTTCCTGAAGTACCACAATCCTGCAGATATCTCTCAGTAATAGAATAATGACTACCTTGAACATGCAGTCACTTGAATCTGTGTAGCTCAATAACTGATCTGTGTTCATATGGAAAAATAAAATCCAGGAACCTCTGGCACATGAGGACAGTGACTGTCTATACTTTTGGCTAAAACATGGAGAATTATAGCTAAATGATATTTACTGAGTTACCTTCTTTGCTGAGAAGCACAACGGTGGTGTCTTGAATACTGCTGCTAAAAATATATAGTTTGATATTGATAGCTTTCTGAAAGCAACCTCACAGGCAGATATTTTGCAAACCATTTCAATGCAGATATTTGTAAGATGAGAAGAGCAATTGCACTCATGAGGCACTCAAACTGCAATGTCGAATCTGCAGTTTTCCTTTCAGTCTGAATGTATTAATTGTTGTGAAGTTGGCCACTTATTTAACAGCTTGCAGCAGACCAGGTGTGAATCATGTGTGATTATAACTGAGAAAAACCTTTCCTGTTCAGCTTGTCATGCAGTCAAGTATATACAGCATAAATACACATCCTATGATTTGGATATGATGTATATTTATTCTGTGTATGACTTTGTGAGTGTGGCATACAGAAGAGACAAAAGTGACAGCAGCTAATGGCAAGGATTGTTACATTACATTATTGGCATTTAGCAGACGCTCTTATCCAGAGCAACTTACATCAGTTTCTTTACAATGTTATCCATTTATACAGCTGGATATTTACTGAGGCAATTGTGCGTTAAGTACCTTACCCAAAGGTACAGCAGTGCCCTGGCTGGAATCGAACTGGTAACCTTTCAATTACAAGTCCTGCTCCTTAACCACTATGCTACGCTGCAGAGGCAATGAATGATTGTTAGGATTGATAGGAATTATTATTATTATTATTATTATTATTATTATTTATTATTATTATTATTATTATTATTATTATTATTATTATTAATTATTAATAATAATAATAATAATAATCTAATTTTCTGTATTGTACTAGCAGCGAAATAATAATACTACTGGCAAGAAATGGTAGTAAGGAAAAGCAGCATTCGTGAAGAAATGCTGCTTTTTCATTCAACATACAGGAGAGGCAGGGACACCTTGTACAGCCCGTATAGGGATAGAGTTCCTGAATGTGTTTTTCATTTTAATACATTTACCAGTTTTAATTTGTGTCTAAATAATTCATATGGCACAGACATTGGACAGACAATAAATCAATTTAATGTCTTTTAAAATTAAAGCTAAAAGGTGAAGCGCGCAAAGGCATGGTCACCACATTTGATGATATTGCACAGAAATTAATCGTTTTTAAAAAATGGTGCGCTTGGCGCACACAACAAAACAGACTCAGGATAACTACATAAAAAGGTCAATTGAGTTCTGTGCCTCCCTAACTGGCACCTTACTGACCATCGATGCTAAGCACCACGGTGTTACTATTTCAACTACCATTCAACGGTATATTTCACGTCAAACTTGAGGGCAATAGTACGTTTAACAGCCTCAAAAAAAAAAAAAAAACTAAAAATTCCCGGAGGTGTATGGCCCCAGGCCCTTCTCTCTCAGCAACACCACATCCTCCATCTCACCTGTGCCAAAGGTGTGCTAAAGGTATTCAAATGTATGAAGAAACCGCAACTCGAACCCGAACAGCCCACAGGTAGCCTGGCTAGCGACAACGTTAATGGAAACGTCCGCATGTTTGAACGAGTCAGTGCTCGGTTGCAGCTGAGCTCAATATCAATGACGTCACCGTCACAGCCGTCGCCGATAAAGCTGCTGTATTAATATAAATCAGCGGTTACAGCACTGACAAAAGATTACACTCAGTGGCTCTATTTCTGTCCTCCAAAGCTCATTAATGGACTTAAGTCTCCTGTGTGAATGTAGGGGACGAAATTTTGCGTGTCCGATACTGCAGAGCGGTGCTTGCATCTCTGTCTCGTGCTCACCTTTTATTTACAATCGCGCCGCTGTCCCCTCTCGCGCTCTCTTTTGACTCGCAGCCGGCCGGCCGGTGATAGGGAAAGACGCACGGACATACACACGCGGACCGAGGAAGGGCACTCAAGATGTTGACGTTATTGACAGCCATGTATCTAGTGGTGAGGGCGACGTCGTCGCAGGTAAGAGGGTTCTCCTTGATAGCATCACCGGCGTAAACGGCTGAGAACGAGGACGCATGCATCTGCACTGGAATAAAATATTGATGTCCTCGGAAAAAGGGAATTCTAAAAAAATCGTATTTGGAACATGGCTAAGCCTGCAGAAAACTGCCCTAATTCCAAAGCCTGTGTTATTTTTGTAAGGGGTATCCGACTGTCTTTATGCTTATCCTCCGTCTGTCCGTCTTACATCACTAATTCAGAATGCACAATTATTCTGAAGTAAACTGAGGTAAGCATAAGGCAGACGCCATGGGAGATTTTTAGTTATGTAGCTATTGATATCTGGTACTCCAGGTTTAGGAGGGGGTGTGCACTGCGGAGCAGCACCATGGAGAGCTCCAGTGACAGGTCTGCAATATCTGTGCCTTCAGTGTGGTCTCCACGGCTAATTACTGCAACATTTCACTTGTGAATTGTGGTTGTGTAGCTTATGATTCAAAATAATCAAGGGCTGTGGCAGTCTATAGCTCAGAAACCTACCTGTTTTGGTGTGGTTCAAGACAAGCAGTTGTGTTTAATTTCCTCAAGGCTGAATCCATGTTGTTCAGATTCAATACTAGTAAGGTTCAAAGAAAAAAATGCAATTAAATCAACAGACAATAACTTGATTTGATTGATGCAATCCTCATGCATTGGAATGCTTTAATTATTAAAGAGTGGTGACTTGGTTGTGGTGAAAGATGCACTGTGATTCAACACTAATTACAACTGTGCATGTGCATACATGAAACAGGGTGGAGATAAATTCTGGGAACTGCCAGAACCAGGGAGTAAATTAGCAGAGCCTGTTTGCACTCCCTTTACACAGGCAGACAAACAGACACACAGTGTGATACACCTATATGTACATTACAATAGTGTCATTTAGCAGATGTGCTCATCCTGAGTGACTTACAATTTTATTCATTCATTTTGGCCAATTGTGGGTTAAGTACCTTGCCCAAGGGTACAACAGCAGTGTCTCAGCAGGGAATCGAACCTGTGACCTTTTGGTTACAAGCCCAGCTCCTTACCACTATGTCACACTACTGCCCCACCTACAGGTACACACACCTAAAAAACTTTTACCTCTTGCAGACACTTGCACAAAACACCCCACATAGACCATCAGAAATACAATATACCTTTATAATAAAATCTGTTTAGACAATGATACAGACATGCAAAGAAATGAACAGGGCCACGGGTATGCACACCAATGGACAGGCAGGCATATAAAGTGCCCCTCTTGACCTAAAAGGAATGATGATAAATTTCATGGGTATAGCACCTTTTGCCCCCTTCAAGGATCTCAAACCACTTTATAATGTAGCTCTTACACATTGATATAGCCACAATGCTCACCACACATCAGCTGAGGTAGAGAGGAAGGCATTTAATTAGCCAGTTAAACAAGGAGATGAGAACTTTGGCCAGGGCAAAGGGTGCCAGGGACCTGACACTGCAACTTGGTATTGGTTTTGAACTTGTTGCAGGGGAAAGACTGTCCCCTACTGGCCCACTACCAGCATAGTATGGCATATTATCAGGGCGTACCTAAATATAAAGCCACAATGACAAGAACAGCATCTACCGAGGGAAGGGTAGCCCCAGCTTTGATCCATTTTTTGTAAGATACACAGCAGTGCAGTCTGTCACATCTATTGTATCACTAGAATTAAGGAGAGAAATTGCTTGAATTGGACTCTTAAATAGGGTCATATGTGGTAAGCAACAGAGTTCACTCAGACATTCTTGCCAGGATTCACACCTCTTCCTCTGGTGCTGCACTTGGTGCGTTGACTACTTCTGACGGTTGTCATTGTTTCAACCTAATTAGTTTGCATTCCACATGTGAAATCAGGAGAAATAATAATTCTATTACTACTGTGACTACTAGTGCTACCACTAAAAATAACAATAGTAATTGCATTTAGAGTATTGTTAATCATTTTAAACACTCCACTCCTCCTTCCACGTGCTTTATTCATATTCCACCTACTGTATTTATTGTCCTATGTGATTGAGAACTGGGACATGTGCAGGCTATAGATAAATAGAAGCAGCCAGCAGTTATTTAAGTCTTTTTGTTTGTTTGTTGAGAAAAAATGTTCCTGCAGCGAGGGCTGCCTAAAATCAAGCAGGTTCACACATTTCTTTGTTAAAATGAAGGAAACCTTGCGGTTTTCTTTCGCTTCCGGGTTGGGCTGTTTCCGTGGGCTGTATCATTCATTCATGTATTATACTTATGTCTAGTAGGTCTACAGATACAGCGACACTGATTTATTTTCCTAAAATATTGTTGGTGTTTCATTTAATTTACGCTGGCTCAGTAATGCAGGGTTGCATTAAATGCGTTATACCTTAAACATTTTTTCAGAACCATATCAAATAGTTTACGCGCATAGCGCCATTTACGTAAGTATGTTTCCTCTGAAAGCTCGACACATTCAGTCTTGATTGATCCAAATCACCATTTTCAGCGTTTGAGCCAATCAGGGTCGAAAGCGCTGAGCCGTCATAGCACAAACTATTCTTCATATTTTTTCATTTTTCCAGAAATGGTAGTGGGAGGGTCTAAGCAGAGAAAAGTGGGCTGACGATACAGTGGTTCGTCATGGGTAATGTGTTTCCCTTCATAGGATGGCTTGTTTGAGGGACAAGCAACGTCAAAATTTAACCAACTACATTTCCCAGCATAGGACTGGAACGCTTTACTTTCGCCCTTATGACCATATCAGTACAAGAATAAAGGTGACCCTCCAGTTGAAAGCAAAGTGGGAGAGCAACTGTCACAGCTCGAAAGTCATTCAAGATGGTAAGCGACAGATGTATAATTATATATATTCATACTGTAGTCACAGTGTCAGCATTTCATTAGCATAATGAATCGTTATCTCGAAATATTTTCGCAGTGCCTGTAATGGCTCCGAAATTTTAGAAGCGTTACATTTTAGCTTGTCTAGCTAGGTCAAAGTAACCGGCAGCATCAACCGCTAGGGATGCAAGGCAGTTAACGATAGCTAGCTAGAAAATATGTTAAAATAACAAAATAATTTAAACAATGGCTAACTTCCCAGCTAGTCTTTCTCTAGCGAGCACAAATGTAAATAGAAATCGTGCAATATCCTAGCAAGAATATTTGGCTAGCTAACCAGCTTGACGATCAACTAGACAGCTAGCTAACTAGACATCCACAGCTTGTTTTTCTGCAAGTAGCTAGGTCTGCAGTTTCCACGTGGCCTTCAAGGTGCTGTTGTAGCTTTTCCTAAAACTCATTCATTCATTCTTTCATTCACTCGTTCGTTGAATTATTCATTCACTCATTCGCTCGGTTTTGGGCCAGTACCGATTAATTTACATCTTTTTTTCTCAGTCTGACCCCATTAGAGTTCTGGTGACCGGTGCAGCTGGGCAGATTGCTTATTCTCTTCTGTACAGCATCGCTAAGGGGGATGTTTTCGGCAAAGATCAGGTAAGAAACGGATTTCTCCTTGCCACGTCATTTCATTTGTTGCTGCAACCGGGGAGGGACCGCAGAATGGTTCATCGGACGTGTTCGGGATCAATATTTCCTTCCGCAGCGCACAGCGCCGGTCAGCTCTGAGGAGGCTCGTGATCAGTGCATTCCAAGGCATTTGTACAGTGTATGCTTGTATAAGCTAAAATCTGATATTGAAGGCGACCAGCTTTGGGCTGAAGGAGCCCAAGGATTTATATATAGTTCTATATCACCAGTACCATGTACTAACTCAGTTTTGGTGTAATTTCATTCTTTTCTCTGCCCCTTGTTAGCCAATTATCCTCATTCTGCTCGACATCCCTCCCATGCTGCCAGTCCTGGATGGTGTTGTTATGGAGTTGCAGGACTGTGCCCTCCCACTTCTGAAGGGTAAGTGCAGGACTGTAGTGCAACTCAACCTGCTAGAGACAAATACTAGCGTTGTTTGCAGACAACTTGAAACTGCTAAGAGCTCAGTGATGTGGCAGTATTCACACTACATGCCATATGTATGCATTTGCCATGATTTACGTTATTCCTGCCCCCGTCTTGAAGATATTATGCATGTGAGGACTGCACTGTTGTTACGCCCTGCTGTTTCTCCACAATACCGCCTTACTTGCTCTGTTGGAGAGCCTCTGCATAAATAGGCACTGTCCGCCCTCACATTCTGTGGTGGGAGGGGAGGTGTGTCGAAGAGGACGATTCTGATTGGTCGCTGTTGCAGCTCGATAGCAAACCCTAACCACACTGTCTGTTCTGGTATGAACAATGGAGAGAGAGCACGCAAGTTGCAGTGCCTCCTGTATCACTGAACGATTGAAGTTCACCTTGATAAAGGGACTAACGCCCTTAAAGATCAGAGTAAATACTATCAGTAAATCAGTCAACTAAGCATTAATTTAAGAAATGTAAGTATATGTATGAGACTTGTGGCATAAATGGATGTGTGTTGGTAACATTGATTGACCTTTTTTATGGACATAGGCCTCACTCACTTGCAGTAAATACAGCTGTTCAAAGTCAAATTACGGTAGCTCAACCGGATCTCCTGCTTCTATGTTTAGCTGTGTGCTTTTTAGGAACAAAGCGGAACAAAGAATTTAGCAGAAATAAAGAGTGAGACATAGAGGTTCATGGCTGCATTAAGGATGTATTTAGGACTAGAAAGGTACTCAGTTAACCAATTTCATGTTGTCCAGTGAAACGTAATCAATAAAAAATTTCCTAGTTGAAAATGAATTACTTCCAGCAATCTCAATGTCTTGTCTTTGCAAAATAACGCAAAACCACTTCATCATCAGAGTGATATTGAAAATGTAGCATTGCTGAGCAGAAAAAAATTCTCTTCCTTGGATGTTTTTTATTGCCCACTAATATTAATATTAGTATTCATTTTGATGTGGGTCATGTCATGAGTCATTACAGAAATATAAAAAAACAGGTCTGAGGTAAGATTTACTCTCTCTGAGCATGTCAGGACGTGAACTTGGCTCTCCTCTTTGAACAGTGCATGCTCACCGTACAAGTAATACTGCCCCTGCCTAGGTAGATAACATGTTTGTGTAAGTGGGTTCAGAAAAGGCGATTTGAAGTAAGTTAGTCTTACAAAGGAGAAAGAGGTGAACCCACTGGCTGATATAGGTACACAATACTGGACAGTACTGCTCTTCAACATTTGGCTTTGAACATTGCATGGAGTAGGGTGCTGTTGATGTTAGTAAGAGGTCTGGCTCCATAATTTGAAAATGTACTGTATCACTTTACCCCCTGTCCATTTTGTGTCTGTTGGGAACACTGACTCCATATAGAGAGCCTTGAGAGGTCACTCTTAGATTGTATTAGAAACTTTTATTGCAAATTCAGAAGTGAAAATGCATATGTGTTAACAATTGGACATCCTATAGCGTTTAACCAAATACATGGGTATTAGTGAAACACTCCCTGGTGTACAGTTTCATCAGGGTCAGAAGGGCCTTTTAAACAGGAGTCTTCTTTCGTCCTGCAGAGGTCATTCCAACAGATAAGCTGGAGGTGGGTTTCAAGGACCTGGATGCTGCCATCCTTGTGGGCTCCATGCCCAGAAAAGAGGGCATGGAGAGGAAGGACCTTCTGAAAGCCAACGTGGCCATCTTCAAGACCCAGGGAGCCGCCTTGGACAAATACGCCAAGAAGACTGTCAAGGTGATTGATGCCAAGGCAGAGGAGTCCTCAGTCCAGCTGTTTAAAATAGCTGCCTCCTTCAGTCTTAAAGGGAAATGCATATTGAAAGTTTAGAGAACTTAGGGTGTGAACAGAATTTTCCATCAACTAAATGAAGAGATGAAAACTATTTGAGATCATTGCACTCATTTAAGTGGAAGATTTTAAACATTGTGTTTCCTCTTTTGTTCTTCCGCTTATGTGCATTTCCTTTGCATAGTTCAGTGGAACAGAGGTTCACTTCCTGCTGGTGTCTAATGCCCTTTGGAATGGCAGGCTTTTAATGTTTCAGGGAGAATGTTGCTGTTACACTTGCTTTACATATGTAGTGAGGGTTAGAAAAGTTT